GGCCTCGGGGATGTGTCTGCTAAGGACTTTTCCAAAGTTTTCAGCCCTTTCAATGGGCAAACTTTGAAAACACACACACACCCCGCCGCCTCCATCACCCCCTGGACCCCCTCCTCCTCCTCCTCCTCCCCTCCAAACGCATGCACGGCTTCGCTGGATTCCTCTGCACTTCATCTCCTAATTTCAGCGCCCCAGGTGCGAAGCTCTGGTTTGCTTTTCGGGTCCCCTCCCAGCTCCCCTCCCCTCAGCTCGGCAGGACTTTAAACAAACGAGTAAAGCAACAACAAAAAAGAGGTTGTTTCCTCCTCCCCCTGCACCCCCCGCCCCTGGATGGATTAATACATGGGAGAGAGCTGCAGACAGCTCCCAACCCCGCACGGAGAGAAACCGAGGGTGACTTTTCTATAACAAAGTTCGGGACTGTATCCAGGGGAAAGATCCTTCCTCTAATAGCAGATTCAGAGAGGAATATTAATGGAGTGACTCCAGTTTTGAACTTTTGCCCCGTGGTCTGTCTTTGCTCCCTTGACTCGGAGCTGGCTCCTTTCTGAACCAAGGAGGGGAGGAATGAACGTGCAGCGGGAGGAGAGGGAGGCCGGGGGAGAGGGAGAAGGAGAGAAAGAGAGGGGCAGAGGGAAAGCAAAAGAAAGGAAAAGACGGCAAGGAGTGAGAGAAAAAGGGAAAGAAGGGAGGGAAGAAGGGAAGAAGGGAGGGAAGAGGGGAAGAAGGGAGGAGTGGCTTTTGGAGGGGCTGCCCCCCTTTTCCCGGGGGTCGTCTCCCACGGCCGCGGCGGAGCTGGCCGGCGCTGGGGTGGTGGCGGTGGTCGTGCTGATTTTCCCCGCCTCGTTGGCTTCTAGCAAGGGATCGTCTTTGCTGTCTGCATCGCTGTCTCCCTCGCTGGGGCAGAGATCTGCAAGACAAAGGGAGCCCGGGGCTGGGATCCGGCACTGCCCGTCCCTAAACCCCCGGCGGGCTGGGAGAGGGGGCAGAGACCCTCCCTGGGCGGCCAGAGATTTAAATGTAAATACTTCCTTTTTGATGATTATACAAATAAATACACCCCCCCGGCTCCCACCGCCCGCCCCAGCCAAGCCAACCCCAGTTTTCCACAGCGCAGCAAAACTCGCGGGGGGGCCCGG